TTTTTTGAGACAGAGTCTTGCTCTTTCTCCTGGGCTGAAGTGCAGTGGTATGATCTCGGCTCACTGCAACCTCTGGCTCCCGGGTTGAAGCGATTCCCTTGCCTCAGCTTCTTGAGTAGCTGGGACTGCAGTCGTGCACCAGCATGCCCAGTTAGTTTTTGTGTTTTTAGTAGAGATGGGGTTTCACCATTTTGGCCAGGATGGTCACTCTGTCTTTACACGTGTCTCCCTTCAGCCTTTGCCCTTATTTACCTGCCTTTGGCTCCTAAAGGCATTTTTGGTTGAGACCTTTGCATGTAAAGTAAGAACTTTGCCATCTTTGGATTCCCCCATGTTTGTTTTGAATAAATAATATTTGTTATTAAAAGGAACTGTGTTTTTTTCCTCTCCAAAGAGCAGCAAGGGACAGAGACTGGTCACTTTCTGCAGTGACATTTGAGGTGAAGAAACCATGGGATAGGAGTAGGTGCTAATTGAGTCCATAGGTTCAGTGGAAGGAAAGAAGGTCATACCACCTGGTAGGGATCGTGGAGGGGGTTCTTGGTACTGACCCACAGAAGCGTGTCAGAAAAACTTCATAATAAGGAGTTGCCTTATTTTCTTGGTCAAGGGGAACTTCCTATAGGCCCTTGTATCCTGATGCCACCCCCTTACTGAAATCCTGGTGTTGTTTCCACAGAGCTGTCTGGCCTTTTGCCCTCGATCCTTGGTTAAGGAAATGACCAACCAGGTAAGGCCTGTGTTGAAGGGAAGCTGGTCTCTTTGCCAAGTTCAAGTCCAGTAGGTTTCCAGGGCATGTAGTCAAGAAACTAGCATCTCGTTCTTGCCGTGCTCCTGAAGAGCTGGATGACCCTGGGTAACCAGTCACCACAGTGTTAGGTGGGACTAGTAAAATGCAAACACTAAGAGGAGGATTGGTTCATCTAAGTCTTGACTACAGTTTAGTGAGTAATAGAAGAAGCTTAAAAGAGGTACAGGCTGGGTGTGGTGGCTCACACCTGTAATCCCAGCACTTTGGGAGGCCGAGGCGGGTGGATCACGAGGTCAGGAGTTCAAGACCAGCCTGGCCAAGATGGTGAAACCCCATCTCTACTAAAAATACAAAAAATATCTGGGTGTGGTACCAGGCACCTGTAATCCCAGCTACTTGGGAGGCTGAGGCTGAGAATTGCTTGATCCTGGGAGGCAGAGGTTGCAGTGAGCCAAAATCACGCCACTGCACTCCAGCCTGGGCGACAGAGCAAGACTCTGTCTCAAAAAAAAAAAAAAAAAAAAAAAAAAAAGGAGGTTAAAAAAAAAAAAAAAAAAAAGATTGGGATAGGAGATAGAACAGGAGAAACGTATCTTTGTAATAAGATTAGGGGCAAAGGAAATAGGCTATTCTGCAAAACTTAAGCTGCAAACTGGACTCTGAGCTTCCTTGGTGATCAGAGCAGAAAAAGAAAACATAATTTATTGGTCTCTGTTGGGTGAATGTGGGTAGTAGGAAGGGGGAGAGTAACAGTTTGTTTAAGAATTTGTTTCTGATATGACTATGCAAATCTTGCCTGAGTGTGAATCGAGGAGCTTGTAGGATGGCCGGGGTGGCCGCAGAGGAAGCAGCTGACACTGTAGTGCCTCTGTCTGCTTGGGGGGGAGGCAATGTGAGACGTCTGAAATCTGACCGTGGGTTTAATGTGGCTTCTGTTCTTTTTCAGTATGGTATTCTCTTCAAACAAGAGCAAGGTGAGTAGCCTGCCTGTTTAAGCAGGTCATCTGTGGAAAAAAACTGTGTCGTCCCTGGTTTCTTTAAGATTTTTGTCAAGATGACCAGACATGTAGTTTCCAAGTATACTCACTTTGCAGAAGAATTGGCAGCTGAAAATAAGTACGCTTAAAAACAAACAAACGACAACAAAAACCTAACAACCAACTAAAAAAAAAAAGCAGTCATCGTGATAGGTTGGAGAATTCCAGGCGGAGGAAAATTTTCCCACCTGAGGAAGACCTGACCGAGCTTCCCAGCTGCCGAGGTGGAAAAAGGAAATGCTTTGAGCCCCAAAACTCTGTTAGTGCCGGCCCATCCGGAGAGGCGAACCTCAGCCTGTTCCCGAACTCAGAACTTGCTTTGACCCTTAATGAAAGTGAAGCCTATCATAGTGAGATGAATTTCTCTTGAGGCCACTGAGTGCACTGGGAGGGCTGGGAGCTGTGCAGCAGTGGCAGTGGGGGGGATGGCAGAGCAGGTGGCAGGTCACAATCCAGGCTGGGATTGTAGCTGACCATGGTACAGAGCTTGGTACCCGAAAAGGAGTCACATTTGTGTATGGGCTACTCACCCGTCTCATTTCTTCACTGTAGCCTCGATAATGACCTACAGCTATATATGATAAACGGCTTTATATGATATTATCACAGATAATATATGCAGCTGTTGCCATCCAGGTGGCAAGTTAGCAGGCTTGAGGTAGGCGGGGTTTAAATGGAAGCCACACCTCTGTGTGTAATACACAGCTATTTAAGTTTAATGCCTTTCTATTCATTGGGAAGGTATGGCTGGAGGAGTGTTGCCAGGCAGGGTAAAGCCTCTGTGTGCACTTGTCACATTTTTACATCCACACGGGGTCTGCACATACAACAGCGTGGCCTACCAAACATGCAGCTTACAGACTTAGATTTAAGGCAGACTTTAATTAATAGAGATTGGAATCGAATCCTAGCACCTCTCATTCCTCGTCTGTAAAATAAGGATATTAATAATACCTATTACATAGGATTGCTGTAATAATTGGCCCATTAACCGTAACAAAGATACTTGTGGGGAAAGGCAACTTTATAGATGGAGGCTATAGTAGGTATTTTCTTTTAGACTATATACTGTTTAGAGTTGAACTGCCTGCTTGTTTCCAAAGATCTTTAGGTGTATCTGTTACCGAGGTGTATCTGTTACTTCCCCAGTGGTTTCACTTGTTTTAGCCAAGTGATAGCCATTCTGGACTCCTGTATGCCAGATAGGATGCTAAAAGAAAGAACACTGGATTTGGAGTCCAAAGTACTGCCTTCCTGCCTGGTAAACATGAGATTTAGGGCAAGTAGCTTCTTCAGAAACTCCATTTTTCACACGTGGCCCCAACATTTCAATACAAGCTGTATAGGAAAGCCCTTTGTAAAGTAGTAAAGCAAATACAAATAAATGTTACCTCACAATTGTTGAACAGTATTTCAGCTTCATTTTATCACATTAAATTTAGAAGTCCTATGCATGAAGACTTTATCAGTGAAGCACTTTGCATTCTAGCTCATGATGATGCCATTTGGTCAGTTGCTTGGGGGACAAACAAGAAGGAAAACTCTGAGACGGTGGTCACAGGCTCCCTGGATGACCTGGTAAAGGTCTGGAAATGGTGAGTGCCTCTCCCCTAACACAAATAGCCTCAGAAAATTGAGGGCTGCGGTTTTGCTTCTGAACTCTCCAGCTGCAGTCCGGGAAATACTTTTTTTCTAGGCAAGAAAGCAATAGCAATATGGTGTTATAAAAAAGCAGCTTGTTTTCCCCACTTGTTTTCCTATTACTCCATATTAAAGCCTTAAAGTTAAAAAAAAAAAAAAAAAAATCTTAGGCCGGGCGTGGTGGCTCACACCTGTAATCCAAGCACTTTGGAGGCCAAGGCAGGCGGATCACCTGAGGTCGGGAGTTCAAGACCAGCCTCACCAAAATGGTAAAACCCCATCTTTTAAAAAAAAGAAAAAAAAAAAAATCTTAGCTCTACATTTAAAACCTGGCAGCATTTGGTGTCCTATAGCTTGTTGATTCTTCTCTGATTCTGTATTTCATAGACCATTGGTATTACATAGTCACAGGGACCCAGAATTTCAGATGCCAGGTAAAGTGTGTTCTGTGTGAAGAAATCCATTTCTCTGTCCCCTGTTGAAGGCGTGATGAGAGACTGGACCTGCAGTGGAGTCTGGAGGGACATCAGCTGGGAGTGGTGTCTGTGGACATCAGCCACACCCTGCCCATTGCTGCATCCAGTTCTCTTGATGCTCATATTCGTCTTTGGGACTTGGAAAATGGCAAACAGATAAAGTCCATAGATGCAGGACCTGGTAAGAGTTTTACTTTTAGGGGATATAATAAAGGTTCATGATTTCTTTTCCAAAATCTTTAGGGATAGATGTGTTTTGCAGCTCTGAATTTTTTGGAGTTGAGAGGGATGATAATGGGTGTGTGAATTGTATATCACCTACAATTCTGGGGGCTGGAAACAGCACTCTAATGAAACACTAATACCTCTGCAGCTAAACATGAGTGTTCACACTGTGTGAGATAAATAAAGGCTATAAATAGCCTATGTCACTTCAGCTTAAGTTTTGCTGCCAAATGACTTTTGGTAGTAAACCTATGGAAAAGCCTGTGGTTTCTAGAGCTTTTTGGATTTTAAAACTGCTGGTTTGGGGTTGTTGACCTGTATTTTGTATTTTCCAGAGATTCTCTGTTTGCCATATTCTGAACTGCTCCATTCACTGCTTTATGGAAGCCTAAAATGTAAAGCACTGGGTCCTTATAGATCTGTGTCATTCTCGTCCCTACTAAATTTGGTTAAAGGGTGTGATTCGTGGTATGTGATGTGTATGAAACTTCTAAGAAACATCGATTTTGTTTTAAGTACGGCAGAACAGCATAATCTTGTCCAGCAGCCTTGATAAACATCATCTGAGATGACAGAAGTTGACATCATAGGCTGATTAATGTGGAACAGCAAGACATTTCAGGGTTCTTTTGAGCTTCATATTTACTTATAAATGGCTGCCCAGCATTCACCAGCAGAACCTGTTCTGCCAGAATGGGTGGTAACCACTAGAGGTTGCAGATAGCCTGGCATCTCTCTGGCACAGCCCTTTGCGGGTTGATGATAGAACTGCTGTTCGTTCCATGAAGACAGTTCCCTTGATTGGTGCCCTGGATGGATTCACCTCCCGCCAGTTATACTCAGTAGCCACACTAGGCTGTTCCTGTATTGGAAGGAGTGATGGTCCCAGGATTTTCAGAGAGGCTGGGTTGTCTCAAAACTGAGTGCATTTTCCCTCAGAAGCAGTATTTCCTGTCTGTAATTCTTACCACTGGACCTTTTTTAAGAATATGCACGCCCAGTCCATATTTTGGATCCACTGAATTGTAGTGTTCGGAATACATGGTGTGGGATATATATTTGGAAGAAGCTACCCAGATGCACTCTGACTCCCCAGATGCTTGTCTTGACATGCGCCCTTACCCTGCTTACATTACTTACAGAGGACTTGGGTCCCCACACTATCCTGCAAAGTCTATTAAGACTCTAATATATAAGCATGGTCTTAAGAAAAGAGGAAGAGGTAGAATTGTTTCTACCTTTTCACCTTGGGTACTAAGCTTTCCCAGGGCTCATAATGCTGGTGTCATTGCATGCTGGTTACAGTCCTGGGCCAAAGGCAGCTGAAGTGCTGGAATGGTACCAAGTAAAAGGATGGTATATATAGCCAGCTCACTTTCCCTGATAAACAGTACCTTTTACTGGATATTCTCCAAGTGTGGCAACGTTTTAAAAGTTACTTTTATGAAAGAAAAAGACAGAAGAGGCCAGGCGCGGTGGCTCACGCCTGTAATCCCAGCACTTTGGGAGGCTGAGGTGGTTGGATCACTTGAGGTCAGGAGTTCAAGATCAGCCTGGCCAACATGGTGAAGCCCCATCTCTACTAAAAATTACAAAAAATTAGCGAGGCATAGTGGTGTGCGCCTGTAGCCGCAGCTACTTGGGAGGCTGAGGCAGGAGAGTTGCCTGAACTCGAGATCACATCACCGCACCCCGGCCTGGGCCCAAAGTAAGACTCCATCTCAAAAAAATAAAGATAGAATCATGGAGTCTGAAAGTTTGATTTATTTTCTTTTTGGATAGGACTCTGCATAAAACTAGACCAGGCCAATAAACAGCCAACAGTTATTTGGTCCAGTAACAAAAGCAAGCATTGCTATCGACAGCTGAAGAGCAGCTAAATTCATCTGAAGGTGAAACTCCTCGGATGAGTTTGGGTCTAATCAATGTAAGGAAAATGGACTCTTAGTTTCTATCTATCTTGAAAATATGCATGGGGAATCTGAACCACAACACAGGAAGAGAAAAGGAGAAGAGAGACAATCCCAAATCCTGGAGAAGTGAGGAAGTAGGAGGAAGCAAAGGCCATGAGTGTGCCAGTCTCTGTGTGGACATAGGTTTGCATTTCTTTGGGGTGGTTACCTAGGAGTAGTATTGCTGGGTGTTATGGTAAGTGTTTGTTTTCACTTGAGAAATGGTCAAACTGGTTTTCAAAATGGCTGTGCCGTTTCACGTTCCCAGTGATGTATGAAGGTTCTGGTCTCTTCACATCCTTGCTAACACTTGGTATTGTCCTATTTTTATTAAAAATTTCAGAAACCCTTAAAGTTAATTTAAACTTGATAAAAGAATTAGCATCTTTACAACATAATCTTCTGAATCAGGACACTGCTACTCCAGTTTAAAAAGATGTGTCTTGTGGTGAAACTTCAGTTTTTAAAATTAAGGCCAAATCTTTTCTCACTGTATTTTTGTCCTTCTTTTCTCTGTTCAGTGGATGCCTGGACTTTGGCCTTTTCTCCTGATTCCCAGTATCTGGCCACAGGAACTCATGTTGGGAAAGTGAACATTTTTGGTGTGGAAAGTGGGAAAAAGGAATATTCTTTGGACACGAGAGGAAAATTCATTCTTAGTATTGCATATGTAAGGAAACATTGCTCTCTTTTCTCCTTCTGATTCTTTTAGTTTACCCTTCCAGCCTGTTGCAGTCCTTGGCACAGATTCTGCCTTGGCCTGGTCAGGCAGCTGCTGTCTCTCTGGTGGGGTTTGCCAGGTAACCAGTTAGATGTGTAGCCAGCAGGAGGTTTGGTTGTGTTTGGTAGGGATAGCTTAACAACATGGAGTCTGAAAGTGCTGGTTTTCCCCTATGTCCTCTGAACAGAGTCCTGATGGGAAATACCTAGCCAGTGGAGCCATCGATGGAATCATCAATATTTTTGATATTGCAACTGGAAAACTTCTGCATACACTGGAAGGTATGTCTCATCATCTTATTTCTACAAACTGGGTTATCAAATCACAAAGGAATCATTCTTTCATTATTCTTTCATTAAAATGCCATTAAATGGCAAATGGGCATTGGATTTACAAAATATCACTCTGAATTGGAAAACTGAAATGCCTCCAGGTTTTAGTCTTGTCACTGTAGTTGTTTTTTTTTTTTTTTTTTTTTTTTTTTTTTTTAGAGACAGGGTCTTGCTCCCAGGCTGGAGTGCAGTGGCATGATCATAGCTCACTGTAGCCTTGAATTCTTGGGCTCAAGGGATTGTCCCACCTCAGCCTTCTGTGTAGCTGGGACTGCAGGTGCACACCAGCATGCCTGGCTAGTTTTTAAATTTTTTGTAGAGACAGGGTCTTGCTGTGTTTCCCAGACTGGTCTCTAACTCCTGGCTTCAAGAGATCCTCCCTCTTTGGCCTCCCAAAGTGCTGGGATTACAGACATGAGCCACCATACCTGGCCTGTCACTGTAGATTTGACCTAGACTTACCAGTTCTTGTAACAGTGTTAAATGCTTGTTTGGGTGAACAGACTTACTTTTTATTTATTATATGGTAATATATCACATTATATATATGTGTGTATTAATATATATTTGCTATATGAATGTCTCATTTCTGTCATTTTGGATTCTGATGAACTTGTGATTGGAAACAACTTTTTGTTGATAACTTGAAGATGGATGAAAGTACTGTGCCCATTGTCCACACTGGTGGCCTCTGGAAAGGAAGACTGGGTAGCTAAAGAACAGGAGTAGGGTCGGAGGGAGACCTTATTACATGTACTTTTGCGCTGTTTTGAATTCTGATCAAGTGAATGTATCATCTCCTCACATTGCTGTAGTTTATCCTTTACTCTATAATAAAGGATTTGGTAGGGAAAGAACTTCTTAATTTGTTCAACCTTACAAATCAGGAGCGATGTATATTTCCTTCTGTGGCCATATTATAGTGGAGAAGCTCTTTAAAGCAGTGCATGCGGAGGGCAGCGAAGGGAACTAAGGAGAAATGGCTCCAGGAGGAGAGACTGGGGTTATGTGGATGTTTTGAGAACATTAAGAGGAAGGGCCCAGTCAGAACTCTTGCTTTTCTGCCTAAAGCACCTGGGCAGTTCAACCCAGTGGTTCATGATTGTTAAAAGGGGCATTGTCCATGGGAAGTTGAGTGAGGAGACAGTGGTTCACCAGATTAACAAGGGCCTTTATGAATTTCAGGCCATGCCATGCCCATTCGCTCCTTGACCTTTTCCCCGGACTCCCAGCTCCTTGTCACTGCTTCAGATGACGGCTACATCAAGATCTATGATGTGTAAGTTACCTTTCAAGATTAAAGGGGTCTCACTCACTGCTGATGCCCATCTTGTCTCCTTATTGTTACAAGGAGCCCTAGGGAGGAGCCCTTGTCAAGACCTGTGCTCAAGTCACATCGGACACCTTGACTCCCCAGACGATCCTCCCCCATTCAGTGCCCATTTTTAGTGTGTGTCAAGGGCTGCTTGCAAGAGGATGTGCATGGGTAGGATCAGGTACTTGCTACTTTTTCTCAGGCAGCCCGATTTTTGTGAGCTTACTGATTTCTTTGGGATAGGTAAGTAATATACAGATGAGGAAATGGAGCCATGGGCTGTAGCTGGCCCCTGGTGACAAGAAAAAATTAGAGCATCCATTTTCAAGGATAGGGCTGTTCTAGCATTCACACCTCTGCCCTAGTTAGGGAGCAGTTTATAAGCTGCCCCACTACATGTCCAGATGGGAGCGTTTTTGGTTTGGGCCCTTGACTGCAAGTATAGAAGCAAGTTAATCGTCCTCTTTGATTCACAGCCATCATTGTAAACCTCTGCAGGCCCCTTCCTCTTCATGTTTTCCCCCATCATTTTTAGCCCTGGCTCCTGTTCCCCCGCCACCCGCCACCCCCGAGCTATCCCCTGTAATGTGTTCAATCTGTGTTCTTGATGCTGCGTCTAGGTGCTGGGCTCAGCTCTCCCTGCAGGGGTGCCTCCGGCTCATTGCTCCTCAGCAGGGCATTCTGATCCACTGCACGCACATATCCTGCCCCAGCCCCAGACATGGGTGCCTAGGCCTCCTGCACGCACTGCAACCCCGACCATCCGTGTGCATCCTTTCAGGGGCCTGTGAGAGTTGCTTGGGGCTTTAAACCTCAGAGCAGGAACGCAGCTCCTTCTAGCCCACTTCTGGTTAAAACGCAGCCTTTTATGGCAAAAGGTTATCAGCTAGACATAGAGTTCGAACTGCAGCTTTTGGAATTAGAGCTGAAGGAAGGTGCTATCGCCCAGAGGGGAAGATACCTCCGGGGAGTTGTACTTGCCTGGTAGTGGCAGAGGCAGTATAAATGCAGCAGTTCCTTCGTTTGTGACTTTATTGCTTCCATTGCCACTGTTTTATTGATCCTCCCCGCAACTAGTGAGGTGGCAGCACAGATTCCTATCCCAGTTTTGCACATGAGAAACCCAAGCTGAGGTGGCGATTTGTCCAAGGAGGTGGCACTGAATGAAGACCCAAGACTGGTTTTTTCGCCCAATATCGATGTATTATTATTCATTAAAGTGCATAGTTTACATTAGGGTTTCCTCTTTGTGTGGTACATTCTATGAGTTTTGACAAATGTATAATGACGTAGCCACCACTCATTCCAGTGTCACGTGGAACAATTTCACTGCCCTAAAAACCCGTGCTCTACCATATCATCCCTTCCTCCTGCCCTGAGCCCCTAGTAACTACTGATCTTTTTACTTAAGACCCAAGACTTTCCACCCTCCCATGGCCCCTCTGTATCCCACTGAGACTTCCTCCTGGCCCGTAACTGAGGTCTGCTCCACTCTGCCAAGATCTGTGTTCAGGGGTAAAATTACTGACCTCAGTTAGGCCCTAGGGTGGTTCTCCTGCCGGAGGTGACTGGGTTTCATTTTTATTAAAAAAATGAAAATGGCTGTAGTAATTAGACCTGTCTTGTTCTTGATTAGGTTAAAATAAAACGGTCTCTCGGAGCCACACCTGTCATGGTGGATACATCTTGATGCTCTCCTTGCACTGGTAGCACCGGCCCCACGTGGAAGGGCTGCTGGTGCAGACAGGAGGCCGAGCTTGCCCCTCTCCTGAGATGGCTTCCTTGCCCGTTGGGTCGCAGTTTCCTCATCTTAGGGGTTGGCTTGCCAAGTCTCTATAGCGTGGTTCTTTGTTCATTTTGAGCTTCAGCTCAAAGGATTTTATTAAAGTTTTATCCTTGGCTTTTGGTGGCATCAACACAGTATGGGTTAATGCTGCTGTGAAAATTTGCCTCTAATGCTTGATGGTACTTCATTGAAAGGGGAATTTTTGATAGGGTATTCGTGGTCATTCTAAGGATAGCACATTTGGTCCAGTTTACGGGGAGAGTTAATAATGTACTTTCCACTTCAGTGATTATACTCTAGAAATTAACGTCTCAACTCTGTTTGGACCTTTCCCATTTCAGACAACATGCCAATTTGGCTGGCACACTGAGCGGCCATGCTTCCTGGGTGCTGAACGTGGCGTTTTGTCCTGATGACACTCACTTTGTTTCCAGGTACTTAATGATTCTTAGCAGTTTCTAAAATGCGGGGAAGATGAGGGCAGTCTTCCTGTATAGATTGCCTTAACATTTAAAGATGTTTCACCCTTTATTCAGGTAGCCTTGGTTTTCAGCAGTTTTTAAAATTTGTATTTAGTGAAGTTAGTTGAACTTAGCTGTAGCGAAAGTCAACAAGGAATTCTTTTAAACAGTTAAACACTTAGTTTTTTCATTATAAATTGAGGCTTCTACCAAAGTTACTCTAAGGTAGACTTGTGTCCCAATGCTAACTTAAAATATGTAAATCTCTTTGTCAAATGTTGTTTATAGATCCCAGTGTCGGTCAGGCCTGGGATGGCCAAGACAGCTGGAAAGCAGGAGGTGGACAACTTGAAGGCGTTGCACAGTGCTCTAGAGGCCTCCTGAGAGCCTTGGTTTTCATAACGGGCTTCCCTCCCATCTGGAAATAGGACTCCTGGAGAACAGTTACTACGAGGGCCAGGCAGATCAGAATTTCAGGAAAATGGCTACCCTGTGAGGAAGGAAAGCCACCCAGTGATGCTGATACCTGGCCATTTCCTGTACCGAGGCGCAGGGGTTGGGGGGTCTGAAGTTGGAAGAATTTGAGTCATCAAAGGATTTTTGGTTGAAGTCCTTCCAACTTCAAACCTGTCTGGAAACTGTTTTTTGATACTGTTGTTCATTTTTTAAAATAGTTCATCTGACAAAAGTGTGAAAGTTTGGGATGTTGGCACGAGGACTTGTGTTCACACCTTCTTTGATCACCAGGATCAGGTATGGCATTGTTACTTCATCTTTAGATTGCTGGTGCTGTCTAACCATAGTACCAAAGAGCTTTTCTTTTCCTAAGCTTGTTGCTCCAGCTGTGGAGACCAGTAGACGCCTGGGCCTGCGCTGCTCTGTCTGCTCGGACAACTCTGTAGCCAGAGTTCCTGTGCAGTCTGGGGTGCAGAGGCTGCAATGTGCCGTCAGCCTAGCAACTCACAAGGCGTAGCCCCACGTAGGCCAGAAAGCATAGTGTTAGCCCCACAGTCCTTCAGTGCCTCCTTTGGAAATTGCCTCAGCTGGTGACTGGGGCACGTCTGGGGCTCTCTACTGGGGGCTGCTGGGCCATGGCAGGCTCAGCAAGGACCTTCCTCTTCGGGAGATTCCATTGCTTAAACACAGTCACCACTTGCCAGTTTGGGAACTGTCCAAAGAAGTGATGTGATTTTTTTTTTTTTCCAATATAGTAGAAGCTAGAAATTCTTACAAGTTTTTTGGCTTTAGTGATATGGATAACTTGTTTCAGTCTTTAAATGGAATGTGTGCTCACCAGAGTCTTTATCTTTGCCGAGGTGAATATGTGAAATAGCAAAGGTATTCATGTGTGCTTGTATCCCCTGGGAACCTGGTTCAAATGCAGATGCTACTTCGGTATGTCTGACATAGCCCCCCCACCCCCCCCGAGGCGTTTCTTCTTTTTTTTTCTTTTTTTGAGATGGAGTCTCGCTCTGTTGCCCAGGCTGGAGTGCAGTGGCACGATCTCGGCCCACTGCAACTTCTGCCTCCTGGGTTCAAGTGATTCTCTTGCCTCAGCCTCCCGTGTAGCTGGGATTACAGGCGTGTACCACCACGTCCCACTAATTTTTATATTTTTAGTAGAGACAGGGTTTTGCCATGTTGGCCAGGCTGGTCTCAAACTCCTGACCTCAGGTGATCCACCCGCCTCTGCCTCCCAAAGTGCTGGGGTTACAGGTGTGAGCCACGGTGCCCAGCCTCAAATTCTGTATTTCTAACAAGCTCCCAGGTGAGGCCAAGGCTGCTGGTCCTAACCACTGGAAAGTCTTGGGGAACTAAGCTTAAAAAATAAAATGTCACCATGCCCAGCTGATTTTTTTGTATTTTTAGTAGAGACGGGGTTTCACCATGTTGACCAGGATGGTCTCGATCTCTTGACCTTGTGATCCACCCGCCTCGGCCTCCCAAAGTGCTGGGATTACAGGCGTGGGCATGGTGGCACGTGCCTGTAATCCCAGCTACTCAGGAGGCTGAGGCAGGAGAACTGCCTGAACCCAGGAGGCGGAGGCTGCGGTGAGCCGAGATCGCGCCATTGCACTCCAGCCTGGGTAACGAGAGCGAAACTCCGTCTCAAAAAAATAAAATAAAATAAAATGTCCATGGCAGTGTAAAATTGACTTCTAATATGTTTTAAATATTTTTAGATGGTCCTATAGATTTCTCCTTTTTGAAATGGGACTTAACTAACATTGTTCATGCTTTTTTACTTTTCATCTTAAATTGTTTCTAACAAAACTGAGGGGGTTGAATCTTGATATTTCACTCCTGGATGTAACATCTTCCTCAGGGATTAAGTCCCGGCTAGCTGTTGCTTTGTTTGCGTGGGTCATTGTGGTGACATCATGTGGCGCAGTCACAACACTAAAGTCAGGGCTAGACATCCGCCTCAGGGCTAAGGTGACAGGCTAACCACCCAGAATCACCTCCTAATAATCAGGAAGTTATTTCTGGTTAGAGAAAGTCCAGCCACATCAATTCTGTCTGGGAAGGAGGTATGAATCTGTTAATTCAACACATCGCAAATAAAAATCTATGGCCCACAATATCATGCTGTCTAGCTCCTGGGGACAGGCAGGCTCCATAGGCCACTAATAACAGAGTGAGAATTGCTGACCATGGGGGGCGGACACTGTCAGCTGAGGAGCAGAGTTTGCGATTTTCCCTGTCGGCAGTGACCTCGGGGGTAGTTGTGGGACCCGTTTCTTCCTGGAAGTATAAATGTTGGTCTCTTATGGCTTCTGTCTTCCTGACATTAGGTCACCTCAGGATTCTGACTCTTTGAAAGGGCTGTAGATAATCCTGGTTAGGACTGTATTTAAAAATGATTTTTTTTTTTCGGGGGTGTGTGGGAAGGGAAAAGAATGCTAATTAAATAGCAAGAAGGGAAGGTGCTTGGTTAAGCCTCCATTCCCACTGGTTTAAAAAGTACAAGCACATCCTCATCTCATTTTGTTTGGATTCAGAACAACAGTAAGAATGTTTGTTTCGTAAGCATTATAAAGAATGACGGCATTTTCAAAACCTTTTTTTTTTTTTTTTTAATTTACAGGTCTGGGGAGTAAAATACAATGGAAATGGCTCAAAAATTGTGTCTGTGGGAGATGACCAGGAAATTCACATCTATGACTGTCCAATTTAAACATCAGAGTCTCCAGGATTATGCTGCAAAGAGAATGTACAGATTGATGATGACATTCCTTACCTTTTTAGGCTTAAGAGAAATATAGCATTTATTGTAGCAAAGACTTAAATTTTATAGATACAATGTAAATCTTTTCATGTTTTATTGGAAATGCTGTTCATACTTTAACATAGAGCTTTCTTAATGCAAACACTGGCGTCCTTGAGCATGCTTCCGTTTTCAGTTACCCGATTACCAGTGGACAGTGAGAGGGACTGCCATTAAGAGGAAATCTTTGTCTCAGCAATCAAGAGATCCCGGCACTTCTTTAACTTTCCAGTTTAGAAATATAGGCTCACTCTTCCAGGGAACTGACTCCTGCAGTGAGATACGGCAGCAAGCTCCTCAGAGCTGTGATAAAGAAGCCGATCTATTTTAGAAGGGAGTCCTGAAGGAAAGAGTGTATTTGACTGCATGGGAACACTATGTACTCCTATCTGGGCATCTTTCTACTTGATGTATTAAAGATGTCCCTTGCCACGCCCTCCCTACCCTTATTAACTTGGGAGGCCTCTGACACGCTAGGTAGACGTTGGAAGGCAGGCTCCTGTTCTTGCTGCCTTAACGATGCCGAGGCTCAGGCCTGCGCTCATGCCGCAGAACTCTAGCCCACCTTAGTTCTATCAGAGTGTCTGTACCTCAGTTTCCTCGTCCACAGCCCCCTTGAGACTCAGGTAAATGAGAAAGATGTAAGTAGCTAAACACTTGGAAGCTTACCGCTTCTTATTGATCATAACTTATGAGTCAGCTTATGAGTCAGGTCCTGTGTTTTTCCCCACTCACTGCCCTCAGAATGAAGCCCACTCTCTTTAGCATAGCCCCCACTTCCTCCTGTGTGCCTTGCCCACCCTCCTGGAACCACATTTTCCCCCAAGACCTTCGGAGGTCTGTTCCCCCACTGCATGCCAGTAGCCGCCCAGATGCCAGCTCCTCGTAAGGCCTTCTTCCCCATTCCCTTCTACTCACCCCATTCCCTTCCACTCGTCCCCATTCCCTCCTACTGATCCCCATTCCCTTCTACTGATCCCCATTCCCTTCTACTGGTCCTCATTCCTCATGTTCTTCACAGCAGTTACCACTTTTTGTTTGCATTCACCCCCACCCCCAAAATAAAGCTCCATGAGGGTGGAAACTTCATTCCATTATATATTAACCAATGAGCGGCAAGCTGGCATGTAACACTTCACTGGAGCTCTCAAAAAAGTGAAAAAGCCACTTGTCTCTCATACCAGCTCAATTTTAATTTTAAAGTGACAAATGCACAGGTGGAATAAAATTTTAAGCAACATTCTCCCAATTCCTCTTACATGAAAGTAAAAATTTGCTCCATCACTAAACAGCAGTTCTTTAGCAAGAATTTATTAGGAAGTCACAGCACAGAAACAACACCCTGGAGTGTGGTCCACTTATAAATTGATTTCATACAGGCTTAGTTGGAAGAAGTGGTTTTATATCTATCTTGACCAATGGTCAAAGTAAGCACAGGTGGGCTGTTTCTATACTTTGAGCAAATTATGCCCCACTAGCTGGCAATGTTCTGCAGAACCCGGTCCATCCAGCTGGTTCACCCTACCTGCATAGTCTGATCTGACCTTTGACCCTCCTAAGGAAGGTCCCTGGTCTGAGTCAAACTCTCAGGTGCCATGTAACCAGATAAGATCTGACAGGTGACCTCTGCTTTAACCCAGCAGCGCAGAAGTTTTCTGTGACTCGGGGGCTAGAAATTAGCAGTAGTGGCTAAAGACTGAGGTAACCATAAGTTCAAATTGTAGTCTACCTGTCAGGAATAAAAGAATGACTAATATCCCTCCTCACAAGCTATAATTTACAGTAGTAGTCCATACAAACTGTAGTCCACAGTGGAACTCAGTGCAGTTCTCACCAAAACATCCCTTGAGCAGGAAGCCCTTTGTAATACGGCTATGCAATGAGAGGAACGATCCTTTGGAAGGGAGCCGAGTCTGGGAGAGTGACGTGGAAAACACTGGGGAGTTCTGTCTTTGCAGACCCTCAAGTCACCCAGGATTACTAGTCAGAGAAGCTGGCTGTGCCGTGGGCCACAGCAGCAGCGTTTTCCCTCGGCTTCTGGGGCTGCCAGGGACAGAGAAGGATTTAGTTTTCTCTACAAGAAGCACTTTGGTGGGAGAGCATTGCAAAAGTTGTCAACAGAAAATCATTAAAACCACAAAGAACAAGGTGTGGGGGGTCACAGAAAAACAGTTGTATCAGCATGATTCCAAACACTGGTTTGTCCTCACCACAGAGCTTGGAAGGTTCAGAAAACTTCCAAGAGAGATGACCAGACACACGTTCCATCCACTGAAGGGCACAGAACAGTGGAACTAAGTTGGCCCTGTTAAGCAGGCACATGCAGCCATGTTGGATCCATGGATGTGCTTTTATTTTTCAAGAGGATCGTCTAGAATCCTCAGAAATGTTATCTTAGCAGCCCTGAGATCATGCCCTCAATAACTCTGCCAAGGGAGGGAGGAGAAACCACAGACCTAGAGATGGGCCAGGATGCCCACTTTGTGCCTCGGGGTTTGCTAGGGGCTGAGCTGCTAACTGGGCTGTGCTTTATCGGTGACATTGAATTATGGCAAAGCCACTAGAAGCACAAAGTGTCGGTGCAATCACTGACATCTCAAAAGTACATCCTGAAAATAGAAATGAACAGATTCCATATGCAGACTAGAGGTGATTGACACTTAAAACATTTAAATATAAATTAAGCTGTAACTTAAGTTACAGCAAAAAGAAAAACCAAAAAGACACTCAGCAATTGAGAATGCTGAACACATACACAGGACACCCCAAACACGAGGCCATTAAAGCGATGCCACTTTCATTGTGCCAACTTTACATCCTGTGCGAGTCCGGCGGGGCCGCGCTGCCCCGCCACGTCACGCTGTCTGGCACTGCACTCCAGCCCGGGGCCCGTCCTCGTCCTCCTCGTAGGCCTCCCTGTGCTGGCGCCAGTTCTGCTCACTGGGACTGAACTCCTTCAGCTCCACCTGATCCATGTCATCTGTTATCCTCACTTTCTGTCGAGGCGGGAGTAGAGCTTCCAGCTGAGGAAGCTTTTCCAGGGAAAGCCAGTGTTTTTCAGGAAAGATTACCTGTGAAGGGCGAGGTGGAAAAAAAAAGGTGGCTGTTTTTTCCCCTTCCAATGAAGGCATTTAATCATATGTCCATGACGATGAAACACAGTGAACTTACTAGGAACTGTATGATGAGAATCCCTTTCTCCAGGGGTGCTTTGTAGATGGGCATCCCTTCATCGCGCACACATTTCAGGTCCCCGTGCTTTATCACCTCACCTGCAGAGGAAGGGTGTTATCAAGCAGGAGGGCAGAGGGGCCTGCAGAGGCCACTCTCCCTCACGGGGAGCCCGAGGCAGGCCCTAGCGCCCCGTGGCAGTGGGCAAAGGCAGCGCGGCATCTGACTGGAAAGCTGGCCCCAATCCCAGGTGTCCTTGTCAGGTACTGCCTGTGAGAGGGGTCGGGTTGGGACTCTATGGCCCATGCTCTGGGCTCCAGCAGCGTGTCAAGAAGTCAGCATGCTGCAGCTGCCATCAGAGGTAGGTTTAAAACAAGCGACCTAGAAGTTATGACACTCAAGTCTGTGTAAAATGGGACCAACACCCATCAGCCTGTCCCTTCATGGGGGGACAGGTGTCCCTCCCATGAGGGGGACAGGACTGCTCCTGACAGACAGGCAGAAGCCTCCACAGAATCCAGCCAGTCCCCTGCCTGGCATAAAAACTGGCTCCCGGCCACCTGCAGGTGACACCCAGATTCCTTAGCAGGGCGCTGACTGGGAGGCTTGGCCACCGCAGGCTCCTTCCCGGTCACATCGCACTTCCACACACGCTGCCGAGCCAGAGTCACCCTCCCACTGGCACCGCTGGGTCTTACGGCTACGTGACTTTGGAAGGCACAGGGGAGTTCAGACCCCAAGGGCTCTGAGGCACTCTCCCAAGTCCAAAACTGACTTCCCTCCAAGCATGGAAACAGAAAGGGACCAAAGGGTTTCTGATAAAGTATGCCCTTCAGCTTAGCAATGAAAACGGACAGAGACAGAAAAATGCTCAGAAAAAATGGGGGAGACGGTGGAGAGGAATCTAAACACTCATTTATTCAGCAGTCCAGGCCCACCCTGGACTGTCTAGAAAGCGAACTCTCTCTCCAAGAGGAAATCTTTAAAGAGGAAGTTTAAAAAATAAAGTAAGCCAGTGACGATCCCTGACAGTCAGTCACTCACGGGCAGGGCTGCGGCTCACATGGCCTTCAGAGCCTATTGACTGTGCGGGACGGCCGCCCCTGAGCTAAACTGCTCCGGGTTGCTGGCTTTTTATGTTCTTGTTTATTCCATTTTTTTGAAATACAGCATAGCGACCTTTCAGTCCACAACAGACTGCATTTATGAAGATGCTTACGTAAGATGACACCAAATTTTTACTGCACCCTTTCTGTGTTCAGATATCCACATACAGCATCATATTAGAGCTGCCCACAGTATTCAGTACAGCAACCTGCTGTGCAGGTTTCAGCCCAGGAGCAACGAGCTATGCCATACAGCCTCAGGGGCAGCCAGCTGTGCCACCTGGGTCTGTGAGTACATTCTATGATGCCGACACCAAATCGCCAACCATGCATTTCTCAGAACGTACCCCCCTCGTTAAGCGACACACGGCGGGCTTTTCTGTCTCCCTGTTCCCATCAGGTGTCGCTACTTGCTGCTCTCAAGCCCTGCTCTCCATGCCTGTGCTTCCAGCTTGCCGGGAGCTGGGAAACTGACCAGGCGTGGAAAACTCCAGGTAAGAGAAGGAAGAAGACCTCGAGTTAGGCTCCCCCAGCAGGCAAACACCTGCCACAGGCTGGGGCAGCACACACTTGTGTGGCTCCAAAATCACTTTTTTTTTTCT